GAGGGGCGAGGAGGAAGGATACTTCGACCCGCGCTGCTCTGACCAATCTCTCCCCGGCGACAGCGTCCCAGGCCCGGGGGGGTGAGGCGGGCGTGCCCTGCTCCGTCTTGTCGCTAGCGGTCGCTTTGCGCCGTTGCGGCCTGCGTCGCCAGGCCGCGACTGGTCTGGGCCCGGCGCGCCGCGGCGGCGGGCGGGCGCGCGGGCGCAGAGGGGGCCCCGTGGGCGCTCTGGTCCAACGTCCCAGGTGGGCAGGGCGACGACTCCCCAGCGGGCGCGGGCTCTCTAGCAAGCTTGCCGGGGCCTGCTTGGCCCGCGCCGGCCAGTGGGGCCCCGGGGCCGCCGGCCCAGGCAGAGGAAGCAGACGAATTGGACAGCCACGTGCATGGCCCGGACAGTGTAGCTGGGGGCGACTCCGGCGCGCGAACAGAGGGGTAGAATCCTCCCGCGCCGGCCGTCTTGGCGGCTGAGTCGCGCGCTGCAGACCGGCAGCCGTCGCCGCGGGCGGCGGATGCCGCGGCGCGCGACCGAGGCGCGCCCCCTCGCAGGCCCCCCGCTAATCATTGCGCCCGCGCCCGCTGCAGAAGCGTCGTCTGGGGGCAGATCTCGCCTCGCCCGGTAAGCGACGGGCGCCCTCTAGCTGATGTTCGAGGAGGCGTGGGCTGACTCCCCGTTGACTCGTGAGCGCTGGGCTTGCATCACCTGGGGCCGCAGAAATCAGGGGGGGGGCCGGGGGGCCGAGCTCGCTCAGATATGGTTCCACGACAAGTCGCCATCGATTTCCTGTGCTTCCTGCCAACTCGCGGGCGGCAGCCGGCTGGCATTTGCGCCCCGCTAGCCTGGGCGGGCCCATCTGGCCAGCCCGAGGCAGCCGAGGGCCTTGATTCGGCCAGACACCTGGCTGGCCTGGGGGGCGCCTCCAAGGAACAGCTTGTGGCCCGTATCAAGCGGTTGGGGGGCCGGTGCAAGATGGCTTGGAGAGCTCGCTGCGCGATGTTCGGCGGCGACGCGCTGGGCCCGTGGTTGCGGGGCGTGAGCTTCCTGCGCGGCTTCCTCGCAGCGTGTGTAGGGCGTCGCAGTGCGCTCTCCTGAGTCGGGCAGTCATGCGCCGGACGGGCGCGGCCCTCTCGCCGTTTTGCCTTGTCGCGCGCAGATGAGTCGCTCTTGTCACGCGCCGATGCGTCGCCTGCTATGCCCCGTTACTCATCGGGTAGTTAGTCGCTTTGGGCGCGCGCCGCTGTGTCGCTCTGGGCTTCGCTGCTTTTAGTCGCCCATGCTTCCGCCATTCCCGTTCTTGGACCCCGTGACGTTCTGTTTTTTTGCCGGAGGTGGCGGCCCCAGGTGGCGTGGCGTTGTTGCCGCCCTCCGGCGGCGCCCCCCCCCCCGTGGTGGCTCGTCGGTGCCCCCCTCATCCTCGTGGGTCGCGGAGTTCGCTCGGTCGTCGCCGTCGTCGGTCGTGGGCTCGGCCGTGTCGTGGGGTCCCCCTCCGTCGTCTCTCTGGGTTCCCCTCCTGCCTATGCCTTGCGTGCTCTTTCCCCCTCTCTCTCCCTCCTTCCAGGTCGTCCCCGCCACGGGGGTGGGGCCTTTCCCGCGGCTCGCCAGCGGTCTCTGCTGGCGTGGTGCGCCTTTTTCTCTTTCCTCCTTCCTCCTCTTTTCTCCTTACTCCCTCTCCTTCGGGACGACAGATGTCGGTGCGCACAGTGCACCTCGTCATTGCCCGTGCTGTTCGGTCGGAACCGTCGGTGCCTGAGCGCAGCCTTTTCTCGGCCAGCTTGGGCGTATCACTGGCGCTGGCCTTTTTGGTGGCGCGGCTTCTCACCAGGATTCACGGCATGGCTTCATTAGGTCGGTTTCGGCCCCGCCTGTGCTTGTTTCCACGTGTGTTGTGTTCCGCCACCACCAATGTATGCTGTCTTAGCGTCGGGTCCGCTGTTGTGGTGCTGCCGCGGCAAGTGGGTCGAACACTCCACCCATGCTATTGCTCTTGCGTCGCCGGTTCGTAGGGTGCACCTATCCATCGTGTCGCCAGGCCATAGCTCAGCGTTGCCCCACCAATCGTCTGGTCTGGCAGCTTTGCAGGTTGTAAATTTCACCGACTTTTTAAGTTGCTTTTGAGTCGAGCTATCGTGCTCCTCGGGTTTTGGCCGCTCCGCGCTTTTTGGGGTATCGTTTGTCGGTGGCCTGATTCGCACCAGCCTGCTCGCGCTTCAGTTCGCCTAAGTCCAGTTCGTTCTGCGTGCTGCTCGGGTTGTGGCCGCTGCAAGTTTTTTTGGGCTTACACCCCCGTCAGTGCACCACCCTTGTTCTGCAATGTACATCGTGCGACGCTTCGCCCATATGTTCTTTCGGCTACGTCCGTTTGTATTTCGCACCTCCATCTGCTGCCCACGCCTGAGGTCCCTCTGCGCCGTCGACTTACAACTGCGTGTGTGTGTGTGTGTGTTATGTTTGTGTGTGTGTGTGTGTGCGTATGTGTGCGTGTGTGAGCTTTCTCTCACCAGTCATTTGGTCTGGCAGCAGTTACAGTTTCTTTTGCGCTTCGCTGCCCAACATCGTCGTGCCGGTTATCCAGCGACCGCCAATTAGCACCAGCCTGCTCGCGCTTCAGTTCAATTTGAGTTGAGTCTGCTCAGTTTTCTGGCCGCTGCACGTCTACGTTTGAAAGCACAGCCCCTCTAGTACACCACTCACAATTTGCACCCTACAGTGTGCGACGTCTTGTACACTGTGTTTTCGACAGTGCCCGATCGCAATTCGGACTTCCATCTGCTGCCCGCGCTTGAAGACCGCTTGCGCCGCTGACTTTAAGTTGTGTGTGTGTGTGTGTGTGCGTATATGCGCGCGCGTGTGTGTTTGTGTGTGTTTTTGTTTGCTTGTTTCTTTGTTTTTTTTTATGTGTGTGTGTGTGTGAGTTTGCGTGTGTGTGTGTCTTGTGTGTGAGTTTGCGTGTGTGCGTGCTTATGTGCGTGTGTGTGTGTGTGTGTGTGTTTGCCTGGCCCCGTGCCAGCGTGGCGACCTAGCTGTCCCCGCCAGGGTCTACGCCCTCTGCCTGGTCAGGCCTCGCATCCGTCCGCCGGCTACTGGTGCGCTGAACGTTGCCGCTTTCCCTGCGACGCCTTGCCCCGCCATCGCGGCTTGCGCTTCGTGGGCCCTCTGGTCTCGGCGCCCGCCCCGCCCCGCTGGCCTCCCTGGCCCACGCCGCTCCTCTGATCGGCGTGGTCCTTACCTTCCGCTTCCCGCCCCCTTGCCGGCGCGTGACGCGCTATCGCGCATCGCCGTGCCCTCCGCTGCTTCGCTCTCTTGCTTCCCGCTGCGCCTCGTAGGCCCCCATGGTCTCGGCGCTCCTGCCTATCCGTGGGTCCACGTGCTCGCGACCTGCTGACGCTCTGCTCCACGCCGCTCCCCCTTTTCGCGTGGCTCCGCCTCCCGGTCTGCATCTTCCGCCCTCACGCTGTGCCACGGTTTCGCCATTCCTGGCCCTATCGTGGCCGCCTGCGTCCTGCTTCCGCCTCCCGCCGCGCCTCGTCGGCCCTCCGGTCTCGGCGCCTTGACTCGTCTCTGGGACCAGCTGCCAGACCGGTCCTCAGTGGTGTGGTCTCCGCTTCGTATGTGTTGCTCCCCCATCTGGCCGCCTGGCCTGCCGGGCCGCCATCCCCCCCAGCTGCTGCTCAGCGCTGCCGCTGGTCCCCCCCACGGCGCTCCCCTTCGCCGCAGCTGGTGACTTGCCTGAGCGGGCCCGGCTTCCTCTCTCTCCGTCGTGCCGGGGTCGCCTCCTTTTCCATCCTGCATTGCGGCATCATGCAGAGCGCCCCCTGTTGCCAATCCGCCGGAGCAGTCACCCTCTGCCCAGCCGCCGACGCAAAAAGTGTGTGTGTGCGTGTGTGTGTGTGTGTGTATGTGTATGTGTGCTTGTATGTTTGTGTGGAGAGGGGCAAGGGATGTCGCAGAAGGAGCAACAACAAGAGGTGGGAAGGGAGGGTGCAGGATGAGGGAGGGTCATGACAAAATGAGGTATATATATATAGAGAGAGAGAGAGAGAGAGAGAGAGAGAGAGAGAGAGAGAGAAAAAGAGAGAGACATACAGAGACAGAGAGGGAGAGAGAGAGAGAGAGAGAGAGAGAGCGGCGAGAGGGAGGATCGAACATTCAGTGGGAGGAGTACGGGAGGTCAGTGGGAGCGGTGATGGAGGGAGGCAGGGACGGAGGGATCATGCCAATGTATGTAGCAGCAGGTTCAACACGTAATTAATGGTTTAATTAAAGTAGCAAAGTAGGTTCGCACAAGGGTGGCCGAACACGGTACCGCACAAGAACGCGTGAACGGACCACAGCGCTGCAAGTGGAACATCTCGGTTTGTTCCAATCGTCGTCGCCCAAGATTCGAATGAAGCCATGCTGGAGTGGCAGCACCCACGCAACATAGTATCATCGCATGCTGAGCCAACTGGGGCACCTGCAGGGATGAGCAATGCAGATTTCGTTACCGAAGCAGTGTTGGCGTCAACTGGATTCAAGCTCTCCTTGATCAACGTCCGTCCCAAGTCGGCCCCCAGGGCGATCGATAGCTGATCTGGGCTCCGCCGGATGACCCAGCAAGACACCTGCTCGCCCAGGCGCCTGCTGCCGACGCGAAAACGGAAGGCAGAAGGGGCGAGCAGGGATCCCACCATGCTTGAGCCAATCCCTGGAGCCGCCCAGCTGGAGCCGCTGCTGCGGCAGAGCGGCTGGCGCGGCTGGAGACGAGAATGGGGAAGAGGATGAGGGCGAGGCGGGAGTTGGGGAGCTGGGCGGGGAGGAGGCAGGGGGGGGGGGCACCGACTCGGCGTTTGGGCGGGAGGCAGGCGGAGGCGAAGGGAGGGGGAGGGAGCCGGAAGGAGACGGGAGGGGGGAGGCGAGGCACGGGCAAGGCGGGGAGATGGGGGCGGAAGGGGAGCAGGACGCACCACGCACCGCGGCGAGGCAGGCGTCGGCGGAGGGCGCCCTGCGCGCTCCGGCCTCCGCAGGACACCGGGGACGCGCAGACGCTGTTCTCGCTCGCCTGGGTCGAGCGGAAGCGCCAGCGGCACCCAGGGACCACCTCTCTGCACTCTGCCGCCGTCGCTCCTCGCTGCTCCCGCACACTCCACTGGGCGCTCCGTGCTCCTCTTGCCTCCGTCCCTCCTTCCCCCAAGCGGTGCTCGCACTCGAGGGCTCTTGCTCGCCTCCCTGAGGGATCGGCTGGGTGTGGCGAAGACCCTTCACGTTGCCGCTCCGTGTCCGTCTCGTTGCCGCCCCGCGCGCCGAGCAGTTCCGGCGAGATGTCGCCGCGTTGCCGCCCGGTGCCGCCTCGTCGCCGCCTGGTGCGCTGGGCGGGTCCGGCGAGGATTAGCCACTTTTTCCGCCCGTGGCCGCTTCGTGGCCGGCTCTGGCTTGCACAACATCTACTGCACCGTGTAGCTTACACCACATAGCCTGCAAATCGTAGCACCCATGTCCAGAGTGCAAGAACCTACTGTTTGGGGTCCAGGCTGGCTAACTTCTTTAAGCGGTACCAGGCGCGCCCGAGTCAGAATTGTAGTGCTATTTGCTCTGTCGATTTGGTGGTGTTGATGTTTCGGATGAATATGGCGAGGAAGAATATGGGCAGGATGATCTGGTAGGAATGGGCGGAGGACGGGAGAAAAGGAGGAAGAGGAAGAGGATCAGAACGGCAGACGCAATTAGATGATTCCAGTAATTATGTCGATGCAGCCGATGCCCGTATGATGAAGGTATGCTGAAGCGGAGTGTTTCTGTGTCTCTCTGGGACGCTCTGCTCTGGCATTGAGGCCTTCCACGGGCGTGTCCGTGTTCTCTCCTGTCGTGTCCTCTCCTGTCGTTCGCTTTACTCTCCTCTCCGCCTCTCCCCTATCCGCTGCTCCACACAGCCGTGTGAAGTACCACCGTCCGTGGCGTCATGGCCAGTACATATGTGCACAATGAGCGTATGCCTGGCTGAATTTATTTGCTGCCGTGCATGTCCCTTCTCTTACTTGCCAAGTGCCCGATTTTTGAAGGACGGCTGTCCTGTTTCCTTTCTCTTTGTTTTTCCTTCTCTCGCTCTCTCTCTCTCTCTCTCTCTCTCTCTCTCTCTCTCTCTTCTTCTTTTTTGCCCAGGAAAGAGCGTGTTTTGTGGGCGGTTGGAAGGGGGGGGAGTCGGGAACTGGCCCCCCCCCCCTCCTGGTTCACAGTGGGGGAGGTTCGAACCCTCCTCCCCCCACCCCCTCCAGGGGGGCGGGGGGGTTCGAACCCCTCACCCCTCGGGCCTGCGCCGGCGGCGGCGGCGGCCCCCCTCCTCCCGTGCCGTCGCCGGCGCCGGCGCCGGCTGTCGCCTGCGGCGGGCGGCGTCGACGAGGACGACGATTCAAGAGGGGGAGGGGGTGTTCGAATCCCCTTCCTTTCCACTGGGACGGCGCCGGCGCCGGCGCCGGCGACGGCGGCGGCGGCGGCGACGCCGACGGCGACGGCGACGACGACGACGACGACGAGCACGACGACGACGGCGACGACGACATCGACGGCGACGGCAACGACGACGACGACGAGCACGACGACGACGGCGACGATGACAACGACGACGACGAGGGCGTCGACGACGGCGACGACGTCGACGACAGCGACGACGACGATGACGACGGCGACGAGCATGACGACCACGACAGCGACGACGACGAAGTCGTCGGTTACGACGACGACGACGAGCACGACGACGACGACGGCGACGACGACGACTAAAACGACGACGACGACGACGACGGCCGAATGACGACGATGAAGACGTCGACGACATCGGCGACGACGACGACAGCGGCGACGACGACGACGACGACGATGCAGACGACGACGACGACGGCAACGACGACGACGACGACGACGGCGTCGACGACGACGACGGCCACGACGACGACGACGATAGCGACGACGACGACGAGTTCGACGACGACTAAGACGACGCCTGCGAGATCGACGACGACGACGTCGGCGACGACGGTGACGGCGACGGCGACGGCGACGGCGACGACGACGACGACGACAACGGCGACGACGACGACGACGGCAACGACGACGACGACGACGTCGAGCACGACGACGACGACCCACGAAGATGACAAAGACGGCGACGACAACGACGACGGTGGCGACGACGACGACGATGGCGAGAACGACGACGACGACGTCGACGGCGACGGCGGCCATGACGAGGACGACGACGACGTGCACGACGTCGGCGTCGATGACGACGGCGACGACGGCGGCGGCGACGACGGCGACGGCGACAACGACGATGACGACGGCAACGGCGACGACGACGACGGCGACGTCGACGACGACGACGACAACGGTGACGACGACGACGTCATCGACGTCGACGACGACGGCGACGACGACGACGACGGCGACGACGGCGACAACGTCGACGTCGACGTCGACGACGACGACGGCGACGAAATAGACGACGACGACGGCGATGACGGCAACGTCGACGACGACGACCACGACGAAGACAATGACAGCGACGACGACGTCGACGACGTCGACGACGTCGACGACGGCGACGACGACCAAGACGGTGACCACGTCGACTTCGAGCATAACGACGACTACTACGACGATGACGACAACGACGGCGTTGTTGTCGACGACGACGACGACAGCGACGACGACGACAACGACGACGACGACTGCGACGGCGACGACGACGACGGAAAGCGCGGGAGGCACGCGAGGCAACGCGGAGAATTTTCACATTTCAGGTCCCGGCGCGTCAGTACTCGGACACCCAGGGCCGAGGACAGGATTACATGGGACCTTGTCGTCGTCTTTGTCCTGGTCATCGTCGCCGCGTCGCCGCCGTCGGCGCTGCTAGCCGCCGCCGCCGCCGCCGGGGGGGCGGGGGGTTCTGGGAGGGGGATGGGGGGAGGGGAGTCCCCCTGGTTCTGTTCGGCGGCGCCGAAGGTTCGGGGGGGCCCCCCTCCCCCGGTTCAAACGCGCCGCCGAAGCTTCCCAAGGCAAACGCCCGTGAAACGCGCTCCCTCTTATCTAGCTCTCTCTCTTTCTCTCTGTCTTTTCTATATATATATATATATACACATGTGTATCTACCTGCATTTATGTTCCCCACAGTGCTTGCATTTATCGGCTCTTATCCGTAGGGCTTCGCCCCCCTGCCGCCAGCCCCTTTTCTATCACAAAAGGATACATCAGAGCTATATTCGGATGTCTAGGTGCCATCTTGAAGACATTTTGATGCTAACGCCGATGGTGATGCTGATGATGCTGATGCCCACGCCGATGGTGATGGTGATGGTGATGGAAATCTTGCTCATGATGCTGATGCGGATGCTTGTGCTGGTGCTGATGCTGATGCTACTGATGATGATGGTGGTGATGATGATGATGATGATGTAACTTGTGATAGAGATGATGTTGATGATGGAGATGATGTTCACATTGCGCGAATCGAAGAGCTGCGCAACGACAGTGCAGCAACATGGGCCCATCAATAAACGATGAATCCTTGAGGGGTGAAGACACTTGACGCCTCGCGTATCACCATCAACACCCAGAAACAATGGAGGAAAGGAGGGCCGAGGATGAAGGGAAGAGGCAGGATACGGAGGAGGAAAACGAGGAGGAGGAGGAGGAGGAGGAGGAGGAGGAGGAGGAGGAGGAGGAGGAGGAGGAGGAGGAGTAAGGAGGATTCGCGATGAGCAGGGATGACATTTTCTAGGGATCGTGACCTCGGGGGCGCGAGCGTGGCGCAATTTACTAAGGATCGTGGCCTCGGGGCGCGAACCTTGTATTGATTTTCAAGGGATCATGGCCTCGGAAACGCGCGTGCCGTGTAATTGACAAGGGATCATGGCTTCGGAGGCACGACTCTTTTATAATTTTCGAAAGCTCGAGGCCTCGGGGACGCGAGCGTGGCGTAATTTACCAGCGATCGTGGCCTCGGGGACACGACTTTTGAATAATTGACGCGAGATCGTGGCGTCGGAGACGCTAATCTGGCGTATTTTTTTGACAGACCGTGACTTCGGGGACTCGAACATGGCGTAATTATCGATTGCAGCCTCGGGGACGCGACTATCGTGCAATTTAAGCGGGATCGTGGCCTCGGGAACGCGAGTATCGAGAATTTACAATAGATCGTGGCCTCGCGGACGGGAACATCTGTTGTTGAAATTTTCAGAAAATCGTGGCTCCGGGGCGCGAGTCTCATGTAATTTACCACGGATTGTTGCCTCGGTGGCGCGAATCTGATTCATTTTTACATGTCCCACGGCCCAGCAGGACTTCAGAGCACGCGATCCAGGGAAGGTAAAAAGGATGGTTTGGGGCTCCCTCCTTCGCGCGGATTTCAACAATTTACAATCGGAAGTAGAACGTAGGACTATAGGATGGGAGACTTGAAACTAGAACTGGAGCGGGGAGCAGCAAGCCTAACCCCTGCAGCCTGATGGCCCACAATGAGGGCCGGTGGATTTCTGCTTTAAGGAACTAGGCCGTGTCTTCGGTCTGGCGGCTATGTGGCCGCCGTCGCCGCCCCCTCGCCGCCTCGTCGCCGCCCGTCGTTTGGGCCGTGTCTTCGATCTGGCAGCTATGTGGCCGCCGCCGCCGCCCTGTCACCGCCACGTCGCCGTCCAGTCTTCGGTCTGGCGGCTCTGTGGCCGCCGTTGCCGCCCCGTCGCCGCCTCATCGCCGCCCACAGGTCTTCCCGTCTAGAAGAGTATTAGGATCTATCCCCCCCGGGGTTAACGGGCCACCTCTCCGTATTGCAATTTGCATGTGTTTCTGCCCCATCGTCCATCCTAAATATGAATTCATACCATCCCAGCCAGGCCAGAGTTCGGTCCCCCCTTTCAACCTATGCAACAAATACGTTGCGCGAACTCGTTTATCACAAATCGTCCGTTTTTCAAATATACCCTGCAAACAATGGGACGAAGTGCACACGCGCGCGTCGTCGCGCGCGCGTGTGTCGAAATCATTCTAAGGTTTCGTAAAGATTTCAGAATCGAGTGTTCCGAAACACGTTGAAGA